TTGCTCTTTAACTGTATTATTTCCTGCTATTTCAGCTGTTAACTTTATTTTTTCTCTAAGTGTTTTTCTCTCCAGAAGAAGCTACAAAGACGTTCAGCTGAGCTGTGGTGGCCTCATGGAGGGTCCCATCGGCTTGAACAATGTTGCTAACCACTTAAACATTCTCCCTCTCCTGATAATAACATTTTACTTTCTTTGACATTGAATGTGCTACTACTAGTTTAACCATTTAATTATAGATTCACTAGGATAAATACAATAAAATTTATCTCTCACCAGATAGAATATTTACTAAGAAATCACACTTCCACTCCTTCTTGTCCCCCTTAATATTAATAATCCTACGAGGACATAAAGAATGAATGTGTTTTTAGGCTTCATTAAGATAAGGAGGTTAAAATAGTATCTCCTAAATGGCGGTGAAGAACAAATGTGTAGTACCACCTTTCTGACACTTGAGAGCAGCAACGCCCTATCTTCCCTTACTTTCTAAATGCTGTTGGGCACGAAAGTTATTCAGTTTTTTGTCCACCAGAGTGCGCAAATTCAGAATCAGAATCAGAATCAGAAATCAGAATCAGAAAAGGTTTATTGCCATTGTCAATGAACAAGCAGTTCACAAACTAGGAACTTGTTTCGGTACTAATGTGCCACATATAACATGAATAATAAATTTCAGAAATAGAATAAGTAGAATAAAATATAATAAAACTAACATAAAACATTCAGCTATAAAAAAGGCAGGTAATGGTAACATGGCCGATAACGTGACGTAGTGTCGAGTACAGAAGACGAGCATGGTTGTGTGATTATAAGCTATTTACAAGTCTAACGGCAGATGGAAAGAAGCTGTTCTTATGGCGGGAGGTTCTGGTCTGGATGGACCGTAACCTCCTGCCTGAGGGAAGCGGCTCGAAAAGTCTGTGTCCCGGGTGAGAAGGGTCAGCTGCAATCCGGCCTGCACGCCTCCGAGTTCTGGAGACGTACAGGTCCTGGAGAGATGGAAGGCTGCAGCCAATCACCTTCTCAGCGGAGCGCACAATGCGCTGCAGTCTATGTTTGTCCCTCACCGTGGCTCCAGCGTACCACACAGCGATGGAGGAGGTGAGGATGGACTCAATGATGGCCGTGTAAAACTGCACCATCATCTGGTCGGCAGCTTGGCCTTTTTCAACTGCCGCAGAAAGTACATCCTCTGCTGGGCCTTTTTGATCAGGGAGCTGATGGATGGCTCCCACCTAAGGTCATGTGTGATGGTGGTTCCGAGGAAGCGGAAGGAGTCCACAGTGGTGACGGGGGTGTCCGTCAGGACGAGGGGGAGAGATGGGGCTGTGACTTTCCTGAAGTCCACAATCATCTCCACTGTCTTCTGAGCATTGAGCTCCAGGTTGTTGCTGCTGCACCAGTACACCAGCCGTTCCACCTCCCTCCTGTAGGCGGACTCATCACCGTCAGAGATGAGCCCAACGAGGGTGGTGTCGTCCGCAAACTTGATCAGTTTAACGGAGTCATGGCTCGAGGTGCAGCAGTTTGTGTACAGGGAGAAGAGCAGAGGAGAAAGTACACAGCCCTGTGCCAATTGTCTGAATGGTGGAGACATTCTTCCCCAGTCGCACGCACTGCCTTCGGTCCGTCAGGAAGTCAGTGATCCACCTGCAGGTGGAATTGGGTACGTTAAGCATGGAGAGCTTGTCCTGGAGCAGAGCAGGGAGGATGGTATTGAACGCAGAGCTGAAGTCCACAAACAGGATCCTAGCGTAGGTTCCCGGGGAGTCCAGGTGCTGCAGGATGAAGTGGAGGGCCAGGTTGATCGCGTCGTCTACAGACCTATTAGCTCTGTATGCGAACTGCAGAGGGTCCAGGAGGGGGGAGGTGAAGGACTTGAGATGAGGGAGGACCAGGCGCTCAAAAGACTTCATGACTACAGACGTCAGCGCCACAGGCCTGTAATCATTCAGTCCAGTGACATGGGGTTTCTTAGGCACAGGAACAATGGTGGACAGCTTAAAGCAGGCTGGAACATGGCAGGACTCCAAGGAGATGGTAAAGATGTCCGTGAAGATTGGAGGCAGTACCTCTGCGCAGTGTCTCAGGGTTGCGGGGGAGACACCGTCCGGGCCAGGGGATTTCCGAGGGTTTTGCTTACGGAAAACCCTGAGCACATCCTTTTCGTTCACTGAGATGGCAATGGAGGGGGAGGGGTGGTCAGCGGGGACTGTACTATTCACAGTGGTGAAGGTGGTGGGGGAGGCATGTGACACCAGAGTGGCTGAAGAAACCTGTGCAGTAGGGGGTGTGGGGGATGGGTGTTGCATTTCAAACCTTGCATAAAAGGAGTTGAGTCGTTCAGCCAGTTGTAGGTCGTCAGCAGCATGTTGGGCTCTAGGCTTGTGGTTTGTGATTTGCCTGAACCCTCTCCAGACAGAGGCGGAGTCATTGTCAGAGAACTGCTCCTTTAGTCGCTTGTTGTACAGAGATCTCGCCTTCTTCAACTCTTTTGAGAACCTGTACTTAGCGCCCTTGTAGCTCTCTCTGTCCTTAGCTCTGTGAGCTGCTTCTTTCTCCCTCCTCAGCTCCCTCAGTTTGGGTGTGTGTTTGGGTTTTCTTCAAATAATGTAAACGATGCATTTATAATGTGAAACATTATATCAAACATTGTTTATCTCCTTATTTGTCCTTTAGCACTCATAAACTACCCATGAAATAAACTACTTCCCCCATTCTCTCAAAGCAACAATACATGATGTTTGAAAAAAAATTGAGAAGTGTTTCAACTACATAACTCTTAAGTTTATAAATCCAGTTCCTTCATCTCTTTCTACTCCTTCTCCCCTTTAACCTCCTGAGATTTAAAAGAAAAAACAAGTCTAGTTATAATAGATTAGTCAGCTCTCATATAAGTGAACAAAATCTAACTTAAATAAAAGAAATTATTTAAATTATTGACACGTTTTCTAAAACAAAAAGAAAGAAAAAGAAAAAATGTAAACTCAGTCAATATCAAGTGTCTAAAAAATATAAAATGGTCTGAGTCAAAGAGAATAAAATAATATAGTGCAAGATGCCATTGTCCTCATATGTGGACACTGGGTCTCGCTGCTTCTCAGGAGGTAAACATTAATATTCCCAAGAGAACAGAATGAAAAATATTTACTTCTAAGTGGCTTTAAAGAGCAAAGGTGTAGTACCAGCTTGTGGGCACTGGAGGGCAGCAACTTCTCATCTTTTCTAAATGCTATGTTGTTGTTTTTTTTTTTTTTTTGTTTTGTTTTGTTTTGTTTTTTTTACGTTCACTGGTTGTATCCAGAGTGTTGTTGCCAGCGGAGGATGCAAATTCCCCATTCTCTCGTGGCAACAATACATAGCGTTTTAATACATTTTGAGGAAGAGTTCCTACGACAAAACTCTAAATTTTATTTAGACAAAGAACAAATAGTAAACAGAACTTTTTATTTAATTACATTTATTTATAATATTTGGTTTGATTGATGGCAACATACTCTTTATTTATTTGTATTATTTAGGTCAAATGTATGGAAACAGATAACTCAGTGTGTTTTCCAGTGTTACTATAGACAGAGCACTTCAAGCAGATACCTTCAAAATAAAACATACCACTGAAAATTACTGCGGGTTCCAGTTAGTCTAAATCGGTGGTTCCCAGCCTTTTTTCACAAGGACCCCCATCCCGTATCCAAGACCAGCAAGGCCCCCAACTCAAACTCCTCCCACATGCACACAATTAAGTGATCAATAACAATCTTCATAGAGACATAGAGTTATAACTCTTATACAGTTTGATTATACTATTGGATGTGTCATTTTGATTTTATAAATGTAATTTTTACAAAATAAACTTGATAACCTTGTAACCTCAGCACAGACAGAATTGAGGGTACCCTCTGCAATGTTTTGGGGACCCACTTGGTCACCAGGTTGTGAACCACTGGTCTAAATAATGGGAAAGTCAGAACATCTTCACTTACACAAACTACTTAACTACTAAAACTCAACAAATCTACTTTAATTTTCTGTGTCAGTTCTGTTTCAAAGTGGCTATAAAGCATTAAAGTGTAATGCCAGCTTTCAAACACTGGATGGCAGCAACTCCCCATCTTTTCTTCAAATAATGTAAACGATGCATTTATAATGTGAAACATTATATCAAACATTGTTTATCTCCTTATTTGTCCTTTAGCACTCATAACACAACACAAAGCACATGCTGGTGTACATTAAATAGCATTTGTGGTGAAGTGCTCATTTGTTATTTGTTTGGTTCCTAGATGATGGGCCTTATAAGTGAAAGGGTGAAGATTATAGAAGGTGGTTGTTGAAGGAGGTTCTTGAGAGGTTTTATGTGTTTTTATGTGCTCAGGAGAAACTTGTATTATGTATGCTCTCTGAGCACAACAGTCAGCCGCAAACTCAACGTAACAGCAAACCATATAAAAGTTATTATTTTACAGAGATTCAATCAGTGACATATCTGCTTTTCTCCCTCTGATTTAAGAAAAAACTGTTGTCAGAATATAATCAAACTGAAGCAAAACTTTAAACCAGAGCTAAAAACGTACAGCTGCGGCTTTTAATACCACCTTTCTATAAAGTCTAAAAAACATAGTTCCACGTTTTGATTTTTGTCCAATTTTTTTTTTTTTTTTTTGTCATTTCCAACTCTATACATTATTTTTTTTAATAATTTTTTAGTGTTAAATAAAAGCAATGTCTCTTTGAATTCGGTTTTACTGTTTAGAAATCTTAGGTCACATTTTAATGTAATTTTTTTATCAATCATTATTATCATTTTAGACATTTCAGCTCTGTAGTTAGTTAGTTAGTTAGTTAGTTAGTTAGTTAGTTAGTTAGTTAGTTAGTTAGTTAGTTAGTTAGTTAGTTAGTTAGTTAGTTAGTTAGTTAGTTAGTTAGAGTTACATTTGTAAGTACGGTAGCTTCACAAGCATCAGAAATTTCAAGTCATTATAGCTTTAAGTTTCCACCCGGACGTTAAACAAAGACGTACTGACTGAAGGTTGTGTTGCAGTCAGACTGGTCCGGGTGTTCAGTGGGTGAAAGGTCCCGCCGACTACCGCAGTGGAAGCAGTAACTCAGTAATTCATCTCCCCGAGGAAAAGCCGAACTGGTGAGATGTTTTCTGTTGTTTCCTGGCTCTCTGACCTAGCTCCGTGTTTCTTCTCACGAGGTCACATATTTTCTGTTTCTTTTCTTCCAGAGCAGAAAGTAAAAATGGCCAAACAGCCGCAGCCGATCAGTCCGCTGAAGAACTTCTTCGCTGGAGGTTTTGGAGGGGTTTGTCTGGTTTTCGCAGGACACCCGCTGGACACCATCAAAGTAATTCATTAAGTTTATTAGCTGTGCATTTGGATTTGCCACAAGCACACACAAGATAATCAGCAGTAAGCTACTGGGTGCACTGCAGAAAGGCAGCAGGGAAAATTATCTTTCTGCCCTTCCTCATTCCTTTGGATGTCTCTGCTAACTTATCTTTATTTTGACACTTTTTAAATAAACATTCCCTCTGGCTTTCTGAAGGACTCAACGTTTTCTTTAGGTTTTAGCTGCATTTTCATTATCATTCCAGCCTTAGTGTTTGGGTACAAGATTACTGGAACATCCGGCCCCTTAGATGGATGTTTGTGTCATTTTCTTTGTTTATTATTTGGTTACGTTGCTGTAGAGTTCAGCTGGTTTCTTTGAAGATCTTTGATCCACATTCAGACCAGATTTGAATTATTCTTAGAAGCAATAAAGATGCTTTTGAAGAGATTTCAAACCATTCCCCCAACTCTGGACCAGCATGTTCCTTGTTGCTTAACTGATACCTCAGAGTCGTTACACTTTAAAAAGTAACTAGACATCAAACCGTGGTGTAAAAGTGTGCACATTCAGGTCTTAATTGCACGTAATGTTTCAGTTTGCTTAGAATAGAAGTTTTTAGGAAATGTATTCAGCATTTGATAGAACAATAAAACATTACTACACTCAACAAAAATATAAATGCAACACCTTTGTTTCTGCTCCGATTTTTCATGAGATGGACTTAAAGATCTAAAATTCATTCCAGATACACAATATTACCATTTCTCTCAAACATTGTTCACAAATCAGTCTAAATGTGTGATAGTGAGCACCTGTGCTTTGCTGAGATAATCCATCCCACTTCACAGGTGTGCCGCATCAAGATGCTAATCTGACATCATGAGTAGTGCGCAGGTGTACCTTATACTGCCCACAATAAAAGGCCACCCTGGAATGTGCGTTTTTTTTTTTGCTTTATTGTGGGTCTGGGGACTCAGAACCGGTCAGTATCTGCCTGGTGTGACCACCATTTGCCTCATGCAGTGCAACACATCTTCTTTGCATAGAGTTTATCAGATTGTCAATTGTGGCCTGTGGAATGTTGATCCACTCCTCTTCAATGGCTGTGCGAAGTTGTTGGATATTAGTGGGAAGTGGTACACGCTGTCGTATACATCGGTCAAGCACATCCCAAACATGCTCAATGGGTGGCATGTCCGGTGAGTATGCTGGCCATGCAAGAACTGGGACATTTTAAGCTTCCAAGAATTGTGTACAGATCCTTGCAACATGGGGCCGTGCATTATCTTGCTGAAACATGAGGTGATGTTCATGGATGTACAGCACAACAATGGGCCTCAGGATCTCATCACGATATCTCTGTGCATTCAAAATGCCATCAATAAAATGCACCTGTGTTCTTCGTCCATAACAGATGCCTGCCCATACCATAACCCCCCCCCCCACACACACACACACACACACACACCTCCGTGGGCCACTCGATCCACAACATTGATATCAGCAAAGCGCTCACCCACACGACGCCACACACGCTGTCTGCCATCTGCCCTGGACAATGTAAACTGAGATTCATCTGTGAAGAGAACACCTCTCCAACATGCCAGACGCCATCGAATGTGAGCATTTGCCCACTCAAGTCTGTTACGGTGACAAGCTGGAGTCAGGTCAAGACCCCGATGAGGACGACGAGCATGCAGTTGAGCTTCCCTGAGACGGTTTCTGACAGTTTGTGCAGAAATTGTTTGGTTATGCAAACCAATTGTTTCAGCAGCTGTCTGAGTGGCTGGTCTCAGACGATCTTGGTGGTGAACCTGCTGGATGTGGAGGTCCTGGGCTGGTGGGGTTACACGTCGTCTGTGGTTGTGAGGCCGGTTGGATGTACTGCCACATTCTCTGAAACGCCTTTGGAGACTGCTTATGGTGGAGAAATGAACATTCAATGCACGAGCAACAGATCTGGTTGACATTCCTGCTGTCAGCATGCCAATTGCATGCTCCCTCAATGCTTGTGGAGTCTGTGGCATTTTGCTGTGAGACAAAACTGCACATTCCAGGGTGGCCTTTTATTGTGGGCAGTATTAGGTAACAATGTGAACAATGTTTGAGAGAAATGGTAATATTGTGTATCTGGAATGAACTTTAGATCTTTAAGTCCATCTCATGAAAAATCGGAGCAGAAACAAAGGTGTTGCGTTTATATTTTTGTTGAGTGTATGTAGCGGTTTTACAAAACCAGAGGTTCCTTTTTTGGGCTGGTTTGTGTGCACAACTAAAGCTGACATCTTCCGTCTTCTCAGGTGCGTTTACAGACTCAACCCAAACCCAAACCTGGAGAGAGCCTCTTGTACGCCGGAACAATTGATTGTTTTAAGAAGACTTTAGCCAAAGAGGTGAGAAGTCTGCCCTTTTAAAGTAAATAGATTATTAGCCAAGGTTTCTTTACCGCAATATTTTCTCTCCGTTGTGTTTCCTGCCAGGGTGTGAGAGGACTCTATAAGGGAATGGCAGCCCCCATAATTGGAGTTACGCCCATGTTCGCCGTCTGTTTTTTTGGTTTTGGACTGGGCAAGAAACTCCAGCAGAAAACTCCTGATGATGTTCTTACGTAGGTGATGCATTCGGGAGGGGATGTGTTCTCAAACACTTCTTAGTTGATTGTTTGTCTTTGCATCAGCTTCTTCTACTGGTGTCCTGCAGGTATCCACAGCTGTTTGCTGCTGGAATGTTGTCGGGTATTTTCACTACAGCCATCATGGCTCCCGGAGAGCGTATCAAATGTCTCCTACAGGTCAGACACCGTTGAATGTGTTCAGATAACCAAGTCTGTTGCTTTTTTGACAGCAGACTCGTGTTCTTCCTGATCACAGTCTTTTAGACAAAAAGCTAAATGGCTTTAAAGTTATGTTGTGTGCGTGCGTTCAGATTCAGGCATCAACAGGAGAGCTGAAGTATGCAGGACCCATGGACTGTGTCAAACAGCTGTACAGAGAGGCTGGAATCAGAGGAGTCTACAAAGGCACAGCTCTGACTCTCATGAGAGGTAGTTTCATGTTTTTATTTCCATCAAACTTTGTATCTTTTGAATTGGACAAACTGTGGGCAACGAAAATGACAAAAACTTAAAAACTGGTTTTCTGGGAGAACGTTGAGTGTCTGGTTCTAAGGGTGAGGTCCTAAAACTTATCTCTGCTTATCTTGAAACGCAGGCAAGACCAGCTCTCCTCAGTAGTGAACAAAATGGTCAGCCAGAGGGTTGTATAAAAGTCCAGGGTTGTTGCTTAACCAGCTTTGTTGAGCTGAGGCTCAGAGTTTGAGTATGAAGAGGGGGATCTCCCTGAGACCGGCAAGGTCAATCTGTTGACCCCATCGCCTTTTCCACAGGAAGTGTCAGTTTGAATTTAACTAAAAGACTAAATCCATTCAGCATTCTTTTAATAACATAAAAAGTTAGACCGAAGCAGCAGTTTTATGCTATAATTATGTCATAGGGCGAGTTTATGCATTGATAGACTTGAATGTGAACAAAAAGTTCTTAAAACTAATTCAACGTTTTTACTGGAAGCAATTGAAGATGCTGCAAAACAGGGGTGGAGATAATGTAAGCAGTTGAGATCTGGACTAACTCGTGTTGGAGATGGATTTTTGAGGGGAGCTCAAAGAGAGGAAGTTGCAATAATCGATGCAGGATATGACCGAGGTGTGAACAAGAGTGTCGGTGCATGTTATGGTTTTGGGTTTGTTTGTTTTTTCATACAAAACTGCAGTGAAAATGTGTTCTTTGTAATAAGTTGTCTGATCCTAAAGTGATTTGAGTGTGTGGCAGTCTGAAAACTACAAATCTCTGCTGGTTTTCTCCCATTAGACATGGAAACGCTCAAAGCCACGTCAGCTGTGTCTGACGTTTGAGAATGTCTGTGACGAGCCTGAGTCTCACTGTAGACCTTTGGACTGAGCAGGACTTAGGACTGCAGCAACAGCAAACATGTTAGGACTTATCTTCAGCAGCGGCTTTAAAAAAGGACCTAGAATGCAGTTAATCAGCAATCTAAAACACTGCTTTGAATCTCTAAAGCCGGGCGTACACTGTGCGACTTTTTCACTTTTTTGAGCCGATTTTCCACTCGTGCAACAATCCACAAGATCGGGACGAGTTTTGCGCCGAGCGGTCGTGTAGTGTACAGGGGGTTAAGAGAAGATTAACACCACGTGACCAGCTACCGATCAGCAATCGTGAGCTCGCACGGACTTCTGGCGTGTTTGATATTTTGCTCGTCTCGTACGGGTATTGCACTGTTGAAGCGGCGCTGCGACCCAAAAAGTATCAGAACCGCTCACGGTGCATGCGCAATCCTGCATCACTATTTCCCTAATAACACATGTTCGTTTTAATTTCTACATGTTTTTTACTCACAAAGATTGTCAAGAAAGCGTGTTTGTCGTGTTCATGTCAAATTAAACTGATCACAAAACAGATTTACTTTCTTTATTTCATTTTCCTCATCCAACCCCATAAATCCCTGTGTGTCCTCCTGCAGCACTCCCGAAGGACAACAGGCAAGACAAAAAGTCTGAGGTGTTGTGTAAAAACTGCTATTTTTAGCATATTTTTAGGTCCGACGTGTTGCTACCAGAAGTACAGTGTGAGCAGTCGGGTCGCATCCGAGAACTGGGTCGTGCAGTGTGAGCACATGACTCATGAGATCTGCCCTGCGAGGAAGTCGTACAGTTTGAGCTGAAGCTGAACGCTATGAGTGAAAAAGTCGCACAGTGTACGCCCAGCTTAAGAAGTATAAGAAATGTTCAATTGGCCCTGATACAGATTATTCTAATCCCGCTAAATCAGCCTTGCTGTGAAAAGAGCTGTTTACCCCTCCCACTTGGCCAGGACATGAGTATGATAATGAGCTGCTTGTTGATTGGTTGGTTTCCCCAGAAGGCCTCAAACACTGAAGACGTGCAGTTTTGAAGAGAAAGAGCACTCGCTATTCTGCTTTCTCAAGCAGGAGTTTTTGTCTCGCCTTTTCCAACTTTCTAGTTTACATAAAAAGTGCGTCACACTTTTGCTTGTTGTTCAATAACAAGAAAAATGTTGGTTTAGATTCTCGGTCCTCTTTAAAGCCTGCAGATTTCCACCCTTACTGTTACTGGTCTTGTTGTCAAACCAGAAATCCAGGGTAATTTGTCAGAGTGCACCACCTAGAGGCAGAAAAGTGTATTGCGCCTTAAGCTCCTCCCCCTACTTCCTGGTTTATGGCTGGAAGTAGGGGGAAGTTCTTGTTCGTGAAAATGCATATTTAGCCAACTAACGTGGCTAAAACACATTGCTTTACAGTAAGTATTCTCACCTTGAGTGTGTGCGTGTTTTCAAAGACTTACTCATCTGTAAGAAATGTCTCCAAATCGGCATCGGTCTAGTTACCTCTATAAAAAGCACATGCACGCTCTGTGATTGACATCTGTCTGTAAGCAGATGGCTAACAATATTGGCTAATGCTGAACGGCGCCCAGTTCAAACTGCTTGGCACCCTACACAAGGGGCTTTAGCAAAAATAAAGCTGACGTATTGCCTACATAATACCACAGAACGGGGTAAGACCAAGGGCGTCAGTTTGTTGTCAGAATTGCTGGGGACAATAACTATACACTTGAGTGGGGTTTAAAAATTGCTGGGGACAATAAAGTAGGCTAGCACAGAGGTCGGCAATCCGCGGCTCTGGAGCCGCATGCGGCTCTTCCATCCATCTGATGCGGCTCTCTGTGCTTATAAAATAATGAATGGATATTTAAATGAAATGCTTTATATTTTACTGCATTAATTTTACACCTGTATGCCAATTCTAAATGTAAAGATTGTCTGCGTAAACCTGAACAGGTCCAACCCGGTCTGCGTGGTTGACCGGTCACGCTTGTGCGTAATCATATAGGCACTTAATGAGCTGAAGAGGATGTGAGATTCTGGGATTCTCCTCAGACGGCTCCTGGATTTGTCGCCACATTGGAGCCAGGAACAAGCACTATTCAGCCAAAGTTTCATAATCAGGGAACATTTTCTAAGTGACAAGTCTCTCTGAGAGAAAGGGTTTGGAAAACACTCGCTTCAGTGGGAGGAATCTTCCCGCATGCGCACTGCATGGTTCTCTGCATGGCTCTGGGGTTAATCAAGTTTAATTGTTTCTCTTTGCAACAATCTTCACAGGAAGGCAAAACAGTTAAACGGCAGGTTACATACAGGTGCTGGCCAGTAAATTAGAATATCATCAAAAGGTTGAAAATATTTCAGTAATTCCATTCAAAACGTGAAACTTGTACATTATATTCATGCAATGCACACAGACCAATGTATTTCCAATGTTCATTACATTTAAATTTGATATTCATAAGTGACAACTAATGAAAACTCCAAATTTGGTATCTCAAAAAATTTGAATATTCTGAAAAGGCTGAATATAGAAGACACCTGCTGCCACTCTAATCAGCTGATTTACTCAAAACACCTGCAAAGGCCTTTAAAAGGTCCCTCAGTCTTGTTTTGAAGGCACCACAATCATGGGGAAGACTTCTGACTTAACAGCTGTCCAAAAGACAATCATTGACACCTTGCACAAGGAGGGCAAGACACAAAAGGTGATTGCTAAAGAAGCTGGCTGTTCGCAGAGCTCTGTGTCCAAGCACATTAACAGACAGGCGAAGGGACGGAAAAAATGTGGTAGAAAAAAGTGTACAAGCTCTAGGGATAACCGCACCCTGCAGAGAATTGTGACGACAAACCCATTCAAAAATGTGGGGGAGATCCACAAAGAGTGGACTGCAGCTGGAGTCAGCGCTTCAAGAACCACCACGAGGAGACTCATGAAAGACATGGGATTCAGGTGTCGCATTCCGTGTGTCAAGCCACTCTTGAACAAGAAACAGCGCAAGAAGCGTCTCGCCTGGGCCAAGGACAAAAAGGACTGGACTGATGCTGAGTGGTCCAAAGTTATGTTTTCTGATGAAAGCAAGTTCTGCATTTCCTTTGGAAATCAAGGACCCAGAGTCTGGAGGAAGAGCGGAGAAGCACAGAATCCACGTTGCATGAGGTCCAGTGTAAAGTTTCCACCGTCAGTGATGGTGTGGGGTGCCATGTCATCTGCCGGTGTTGGCCCACTCTGTTTCCTGAGGTCCAGGGTCAATGCAGCCGTCTACCAGGAAGTTTTAGAGCACTTCATGCTTCCTGCTGCTGACCAACTTTATGGGGATGCAGACTTCACCTTTCAACAGGACTTGGCACCTGCACACAGTGCCAAAACCACCAGCACCTGGTTCAAGGACCATGGTATCCCTGTCCTTGATTGGCCAGCAAACTCGCCTGACCTTAACCCCATAGAAAATCTATGGGGTATTGTGAAGCGGAGGATGCAATACGCTAGACCCAACAATGCAGAGGAGCTGAAGACGACTATCAGAGCAACCTGGGCTCTCATAACACCTGAGCAGTGCCACAGACTGATCGAGTCCATGCCACGCCGCATTACTGCAGTTATTGAGGCAAAAGGAGCCCCGACTAAGTATTGAGTGCTATACATGCACATTCTTTTCATGTTCATTCTTTTCAGTTGGCCAACATTAGAGAAACAAACATTTTTTCATTGGCCTTTAGAATATTCTAATTTTCTGAGATACCAGATTTGATGTTTTCATTGGTTGTCACCTATAAATATCAAAATTAAACGTAATAAACATCGGAAATACATTGGTCTGTGTGCATTGCATGAATATAATGTACAAGTTTCACGTTTTGAATGGAATTACTGAAATATTTTCAACCTTTTGATGATATTCTAATTTACTGGCCAGCACCTGTATATTTCCATTTGACTGTTTATTTTGACAGATGAACTCAAGATGTTGCTTGGTTTGAAAGAATTACCCCGACGCACACGGATGCGCATGGATGAGCTGACATTTTAATCGTTAACGCACATCGCCGAGGTAAAATATTCCCATCAGAACATCAGAGCTTTATACTGGACACTGTGTTCAGCGCGGCTCGGAGCGCCCACGGTGGACAGTGAGCTGAAGATCTGGGGTTCCAGCGCAGTGCAGAACCACGCGCATGCGATAAGATTTCCTCCCACTGAAACAGTCTGGAAACCCGGTCTCTCTGAGGGATGTGTCACTTGGAAAAATGTTCTTTTTATGAAATTATGAAACTTTGGCTGAACAGCGCTTGTTCCCGTCTCTAATATGGAGACGCATGACGCATAGAGACATTTGATCACGCACAAAGTTTATGTGGAGCAGAAGCGGTCGGGCCACGGCAGGTGCAATGTTCCTAGCCTACATGAAGTGAAACTGTTTAATTGTAACATTAATGTGTTACTGGACACGCTGGTCTGGTTGGTTAGACCAGTGTTTGAAGCGGAAAACACACACACACACACACACACGCACGCACACACACACACACACACACACACCAATTAAAATAATGCTGATAGCGTGGACTAGAAGACAGGTGATGTTTACGTATTTAAATGATGATCAGGCTGCTGTAAAATGTAATCTCCATCCACATCCAGACACAATTATCCTCTATTCTTTCTCTAGTTGCTCTGCTCTTGTCTGGGCTGATCAGCTGATGGTGCGCGCGGCGTGCCTAACTAGCGGCTGATGTACATTTTACGCATTTGGAGAGGTGGACTGGATGCTTTGCGTTTACTGGAAGATGGTCCACTTAACGCACGGATGTAGACTACATATTAATGACAAATGAATGAAAATTAAATTGTGAGTTTTTACTTCATATTTTATAAATAAAAAGGACGGGGGAACACATTTATGACGTCTTTTTAAACGAAATTATGTAGCGCGACCTGCCTGCTTCACTTAAGTCACTGCTTATTAAGGTCCGTCCAAATTACCGTGGGAAACGGGTAATAATGGTTCTTTGATGGGAACAGGGTGCCGACCCCTGGTATAAGATCTGAGCTGGTAAAACAAAAATCCTCATCAGCAGGCTTTTTTGAAAGTGGGGGGACACAGCTGCCAATCACAAATTTTGCCGGGGACATGTCCCTGGCGTCCCCGGTTAAAATGACGCCTATGGGTAAGACCATCAACTTTCTGGAAAAAATCATACATTATTCCTGCAAGGGGGGGAACTCTGGATTACTGCTTTAAGCTACGGGGTTTCTCTCAGTTGTTATTTAGCATCAGTTCCTTCTTCTGGTTCTTATTATAAAGAATATCGCAAATGTTTGTCAGACGTTCCGCATTCTATTCTTTCTATTCTTGTTATATTTGTTGGAAAAATAACTTCACAGCTCCTTTCTGCGCTTACCTCTCAGATGTTCCAGCCAGTGGGATGTATTTCATGTCCTATGAGTGGCTGAAGAACCTCCTCACACCAGCAGGAAAAAGGTGAGTGTTTGTTCTAGTGGTTCGACACCAGTTGGTTGACAGAACCTCCTGAGATCAGCTGCTGTCTTCTCCTTGCAGCCACAACGAGCTCAGTGTTCCCAGTGTGCTGTTCGCAGGAGGGATAGCTGGGATCTGTAACTGGGCCGTGGCGATCCCACCTGATGTGTTGAAGTCTCGCTTCCAAACAGGTTAGCTTTTATCTAGTTTTACTTTTTGTGAGGTTTTTGGCCTGTTTTTAGTTCCTACGGGGTTTGTCAGTCTTGACGTTGAGTTTAGTGGAAAGATTCCGACTCTGGATGCACAAAGCAGCATTTTCCTGGTCACCTGAATGAAGGAGCTGACCAGCTCAACGCTGGTGAAGTTTCATCGTAACGATGGGAGGATGGTTTATCAGCACACTCGTCTTCTCTACAGTGTGTGGTGATCAACAGCTAACATGTTAGGATTCGGTTTTTCGTACACGACAAATTTAGTTTACTATCTAAGAGTTTAATTTCAGTCAGAAAGTACTTTGTTCCTTCTGTCATTTGTCCAAATGTATCTGGGCTGTCTGTGAAACGCTTCCAACAATCATGTCAAGTGTCAGTACAAGGAGACGAACCATTAGTGTAAAAACTTTACTTTAGAGCTCCTTCACTCATATTCTTAACACATTTGCAGCAGTCTATAGGGAGCCTAAGTCTCCTCCCTTTCCGGTCGGCTCACGGGACCCCGGAAGAAATAAAAAAATGAAAAAAGACTTAGTTCCTAATCGGCTTTGCCTTACGCCCTGGATCACACGTATGTTGTACTTCTGTTTAAATAAAAAGTAAAGGTGTGTGTTTCAACCATGACTGTCACGTACTTTAAAATTTATCAGCTTATACAAATTCTTCATTTATATTATTACAAATCAGACATCAACACATCACCACACTCTCCTCTCCCCTAGCGTAGCTGCTGCTTACCTCATGGCCAGGTCTATGGTGGTTCTTTCCTCTTGAAGGAAGGGTCTGCTGAACTTACAGCCATGCTCCCTCTGCTTTTCTCTCTGGTTCAGTGATGTCATTTTAGTGATGGACATTTGTAGTCCTGGACATATTTTCACACAAAACCTATTTATATGCCCCCATTTGGAAATAAGTACTTTCTTGGTATCAGAATGTGTCTAAAATTCAGACACCATACGTGAAATTCACAGCACATAACAACAGGATTAGAAAATGGCATTCATAGCCCCAATTACTTGTATTCATATTTTCATTCTTCCAGGGACCCATGGTCCGGAAGTAGACATAGGCTGCATATTTCCTGATATTTGGACATCTTGCCTCTGATTGGCTGTCTGCAAACCTGCATGTTTGACTCAGGGTGATTGATCATTTTCAAAAAAAATAAGTAAGAAATGGTTTCTCAGTGATAGGCCTCTTTAAAACCTATTTTAAAGAAGCCATTTCAAATTTTCTCAGCTTGTCATATTTTTTAAAGGGGAAATATGGAAAACTCACCTTTTGCATCCTTTTGAGCTGCCATGTGGGTTTCTACTGCCTCTATAAACACTCTAAATCAGAAAATAAAAGTCCATTTGTTTTCTGTCAATTTATGGTTTTTGGAATTGAAAGAAAGAAAGAAAGAAAGAAAGAAAGAAAGAAAGAAAGAAAATGATCTTTTATGTAATACCTCTCATGATAAAAATCACAAAGAACAAAAATTTCAAAATATAAAAAAGATTTTTTTATTATCTTAAAATGTGGTTAAACCAACCAATGTAAGGAGAGAGAAAATGAATAGGAAAGAGGGAAATCAGTGGATCCTGGGAAAAGCGGAATAGTTAGAGCAGAATAAATCAAGCTGTTTTTTTAAAGTTCCCTTTTGTGACATCACAAATGGGGACATTAGAACAGAGCCGTCTCATGTTAAAGTGACAGAGCCATGAAACAGCTCATTCTGGAAGGTACTGCAACCATACACATGAATATGTAGATGCCCCATTGGGTGCTGGAGATTGTAACTGCGTCGCCTCCATCTTGGATGGGTTCCTTATTTTTCGAACCCCACAGCAGTCAACGCAGAGTGAGCAACTATGCCTGTTTTTGTGCAGCCTACGGTTGCAACAACTGTCGTACAAATGAAAACCAATCACGTGGGATTACTGTTGACTACTCTAGCCTGTTGAGATTTTATATTTCAATTTATTTTAATTAATTTTGTTTAAATTTAGTTCTATTTTAACTATCGTGTCATACCATGCGTCTGATTGTGTAAAAAATGTTTTTTTAATTTTTAATACCTCCCTCAGTTTAAATAAATGCACTGGGTGCGAATGGAGACCCATCCAAGATGGCGGCAGGCCACTGTGGCAGTTCCCATAGGCAGCTCCAGTTCACAGGGCGTCGAGATGATGTCTGACTGAAACTATTAAGTATGAAACTGCTGAAATCGCTTCATGCACGAGGGATTTTATGCACAGAACTTCATAAACGTGTTTTTCAGAAACCATAAAATTCTTATAAAGTAAAAAAAAATGTAAAAAGTCACAATATGTCCCTTTTAAGACGTTTTGCTTATCACTTGTAATTGAGGCCCTAGGCCAGGAAGAGACGATTGAGTTACTTAATGAAAGGAAATGTTTAGCTTCTTTGTATTGTTTTATCTTTAGATCTAAAATCGACATCTGAAGCTGTTTTAGAGATTTCTAAAATAATTTAATAAAACACCCGCCTGACTTTTGCCCCCCTCACACACACACACACACTTTCTCTCTCTTTCAGCTCCTGCAGGAAAGTATCCCAATGGTTTCCGAGACGTTCTACGGGAACTTATCCGGGAAGAGGGTATCACCTCCTTGTATAAAGGCTTTAACGCCGTTATGCTCAGAGCTTTCCCTGCAAACGCGGTGAGTCACTCATTCTTCAGTCAAAAGTCTAAGTAAATTCAGTTTTAACTGGTCTGCAATTTTATATTCTGAAGAACATTTTCTTTGCTTTTAAAAGGATTTCTGTCCAAAGCTTTGTGTTTATAACGACAAAATAGATTCTTTATTTTTCCGGGGAGATTTGGGTTGAAATTGGAATAATCCACTCTTCAACAGCACAAATAACCTGGTCAGACATATTCTAACAGGAGAGCATGCTGCACAAACCTGCATGCTGTTACTTTAAAATACTTTAATTTGTCTGTTGTTTGGTTCCGTTTGATGTTGAGTCTGCTTTTTAAATTTTGGAGTATAAATGAACAGTTCTGTAGTCAGAAAGTAAAGGGAAGCTGCTATAAAACATGTAACCAGCAGGGGGCAGAAGAACACAGTTCTAGGAAGTTAGGCAGTAAAATAATATTTAGTTATGCATACTTTAGAGTGAAAGGTTAGTAAATTATATGTAGTTGTGTTGTTTTTAGTGTTGAGTCATCACAGACAGAGATGGCTCATAATGAGTAGAACTAAAAAGTCGTCCATGTTAGAAATCCTGTCCTGATTATTCACGAGAAACCAGGTGATGAATAATAACAGGTAATAAAGAATTCCCAAGGATTATTCCAGCTGAAATTCTCATCTTTTCATTTAGCTGCTAAATTAAACAGCTGATAAAATGAATGAGTCTGTTGTTGTTTACAGCCACTGCTCTCAGTTATAAACAAACACTTCTGTTTATGTTTTCTTTTCAGGCTTGTTTCTTAGGATTTGAGATGGCCATGAAGTTTCTTAACTGGTTAGCTCCAAACCTGTGATGGAGCCATCTGGAGATCCCTGGAAAACACACACACACACACACACACACACACACACACAGAGAGAGAGAGAGAGAGAGAGAGAGAATCACTTGAAATGAAAATATTTGAACAGATTTCTATAAGTATACTTGATTATTTTGGGAGCATTGTGGTACTGTAGATGACCCGATGAGAGTTCAGATGAAGTGATGGACATGTAACAGTGCCAGGTTTCACACACACAGACAGCCGAATGCTCTCACTCCGTCATTTTTACTGATTTATTCTTTTTATTTTGCTTTATTTCTTTAATCAAACGGAATGAAGTGAACATGTCGTGCCTTAGGAGTGGTGTCAGGTGTGTCAACAGCTGTGTGTATCAGGAAAAAGGTGCACTTTGTTGTTTAGTGTGTGTCAGTGAAACACAACTGCAAACTGTCTTTGTCCTGCATATTTACATCCCCATACACCTTATCACATGTAAAACCATGAGGGTAGGTTTAATTAGCCTAATTCACTGTTCTATGAATGTCATCTTGTAAAAACGATAAAGCTTCCATTTTTAGAAATCCCGTTGTTTCTACCTTTTTTATTTTGGTTTACATTCACCAACACGCTCGATCAATAAAAGCTTTAGTTAGAAAATATTCCCTAGAAACTGTTAATAAACTGAATAAATAATTTTCATTTTAAATCAACTCCAGTTTCCTGATCTGAAGATCTTTGACATGTTTCTGTAACTGAAAAATTTGTCTCTAAGAAATCCTAACACAAATCTACCCATGTCACTGAAAGCAACATTATATATACATATATATATATATATATATGTATGTGTGTGTGTGTATATATATATGTATGTGTATGTACATATACATATATACATACACATACATATATATACACACACACACATACATATATACAGTGGCGGGCGGTGCATTCCACCCCTGGGCCTTCAGTGATTTCCTATTCAGTCCAATCTAATTTAATACACCTTAAAATACCATCAATAGGACATCACAGCTGGAGAAACCTCACACACACACACACACCAGTGGCTGGTCAAGACACATAATTTCCAGTCTTTAAAATCAAACTTGCATTCCCAGTTGAGAGTAGGAAACTAAGACCACGGATACTGTCAAATCTCAGAAATGAAAGACGGGTTTAAGAGATGAGACAATAAAATAAATAAGTAAAGCAAACACATTATTTGCATTTGTTTTGGAGAAAACTGCACCGCGAAACAATTGAACATGTTGGCGCAGCTGCACACACCACGTTATACACAATATAAATTGCATAGAAACAGAACA